TTTCTAAATGAACTTTTAGGGGCTTAGAGTTTTACTACTTACCCTACCCATCCTGGAGCCAGGATCCCAAATTTGCTCGTCCCATCTCAATAGATTTTGCAATAAACTGAGACACCTGTCTATCAAGCTAAACTACCACAGTCACAGATTATATGAAGTGAAATTAGCTGTGTGCTAATTTATTTTATTTGTATTATTATTATTTGTATTTCTAGAGAGACATGGGGGGATATAGTGGTTATCAGCTTATTGCCATGGCTGTTGTTGTACATTCTTGTGTCTTTGGTTTCCAGCACCATGATGGATGAGCTGGTGCAGGACCTGGTGTCTGCTCTGGAGCAGACCTCAGAGCAAAGTAAGCTGGGGGAACTGTGGGAGGAGATGGTCCTAAATCCTCTGCAGCAGCGCCGGCAGATCCGTCGCCGCAGAGGCCGCAAGCGCTGTCGCGAATCCTCCATCTATCCGCTGGAGCACAGACGATGCTGGATTGAGGCCTCAGAGTCTAGCTTGGACGAGACTAAAGGGTACAGGGAGAACACTTCCTCAGCCGTCGCCGCCTCCGTGGCAAACTGCAGTGACTCTGACGACATGACCTCAACCAACCGATGGCGCTCCGTCATGAGAGGCCCGGTCAGGACTAGGCACCCCTCCTGGCCAGAGTCTGACTCCTTCACTGAGAATAATCCGGGACGGCCACTGAGGAGGCGGAGGAAGGTCAAACGCATGACCCCAGGCGTCACGGTTAGGTTGCAGCGGAAGTTAAAGGTTTCTGGTGTAGATGGGAAACAGAGACACAGGCCGTCTAGGATGCAGCATCTGTCCGGATCGAAGAAGAGGTCTGGCGGCTGGGTGGGAGCAGACCGACAAACTGAAGGAGCCAGGCTGATGGGAAAGGAGTGCTGGAAGAGAAAGATGGCCAAGGAACACAGAGATGCTGCAGATGAGAACATGTCTGAGGGGTAATGTTAGATTCAAGGAAGGATATTTCTTCCTCCTTTTGTTTTTACCTAACCCTGTATTCATTACAGTGTTGTTATGCAGTCAGGCCCTATATGAGCCACTCGACATTTGACATTCATTTCGGATAATGTAAAAGCCTTTCAAAAGCCGATATTTAACATACAGTATTGCAAAAAGCCAAATGTTAACCCTGTCATTGTTTAAAGAGTCAGGATCAAAACCATACTGAAAAAGGAGCTCAAAACTCTAAAACCCTTTTTACCCTTTAAAAGGAAAGTTACCAAGGCAGTTAAACCCATAACATAAAAGTCATGATCATAACTACTATCAGACAGAAGCAATTAAACAAGGCGACATTTAAGATGATCTATACTGCCTGTCTTCATCGAGCCACTTGTCAATATTCAGCGTGTCCTCGACTAAACCAAAAAAAGGTATCACAATCATACCAATTCACTTTAAAGTATTGAGTTGACATTAAAAATGAATGATAGAGTCTCTTCATCCTCATCTCCTATAGTTGAAATGATCACCAGGGAGGGATCTTTGATAGTTATGCCCCCGGGCATCTGCCAGCTCATTATTTCCTTTCGAGAAATATTGTCACAAATAAATAAGTGAGTTGGTGTGGTATTGATTTGTTTTGAAATGAATTCCTGTCTTGGGCTGGGTAATTAAAGCTGGGCCTGTCCCAGTGTCCCACAGTGCACCCTCTTGTGTGTATTTTATTTAGCAAAACTAAATATGGCTGTAAACTGGCAGCAGAGAGGGATATTATATTATTACAGTGAGGTAAAGATTACAATGTGCTGTAGGATAAAAAAGACTAAATAGTGAAAAAATGGTAATTCAGAGAATTATAAGCTGTCACCTTACTCCAGTGTTTTCTGGTATAAATACCTGCAACTAACAATTATTTTCTATGTTGATTCATCTGATCTGATTCTTTTCTTAATTAATCAATAGATTATTTGGTCTTTTCAACATCAGGAAATAGTGAAAAATCCGTGTCGTGATTTCAAGGCAAGTTTATGTGTGTAGCACCTTTCAACAATAATGTAATTCTATTCAAATGTGCTTTTCTGTTGCTTTGAGCTAAATGCTAGCTTTATCATGCTAGCCACATCCATGGTGCTAGCATGCTTGCAATAGCAATGGGAACATGCTGATGCTAAGCAAGTGTAATCTGCAGTTCACTATCTTAGAAACAAAGAAACAATGTTACCACAAAGAACAACAAAGACTGATGGGAATGGCATTAGGGTTGTATGAGCAAGTATTTGCTCATAAACCAAAGTAT